AGTCGTTCATGTTTATTGGATGAAAGTTAGTTTCAGCTGCCACTCAGGCCTCGGCTCAGTTTGAAGAAAATATTCAGTCAATCAAGATTTTTGTTTTGTTTTGCACGTCAGGTGAGTTTTGTTGAGGTTCAAGCACCTTCAGCATCACTGCTACAGTAACAGTCATGTGATTAAAGGTTATAAACGGACAAAAACAAGCAACACTGACTCTTTGTGTGAAACTGGAAATAAACAACAACTTCAAGTCCAGTCCAGTGTTTTGTCTGCCCAACTACCCACCCCAAACTCCTCATAACCACCCATTTCTTTCATTTTCTGTTCCCTTCACACCCTCTGCAGGTAAAGAAACATCATTAAAGAAAAAAGAGGTGGATACGGGCTTTAAAGCAGCGTCTAAGCCTCATAAAGGCACCAAGCAGGATGGACAGATATAATTATTGAAAGTACAAAAATATGTTTATGCACTTAACCATAAGAAAAAGCAAGTCCAACATAATAAGAGCAGTGATCAGTCCATGAATTATTATCATGGTGAGCTGAGAGAGCCAGAATCAGCGTGAAGGCGACAGATGGGGCCATGACAAGGTCATCCATTCGGCTCAGTGGCACCAAAAACTGAACTTGGCAAGATTTTTGTGTAAACAGTTGTTTTGGGCCAAAAAGGACAAAACAGAGCAGAGGGAGGTGATGTGGATTCTTTCCTTGGTCCAAATTCAAATCTGCTTAGTTTTGAGTCTGAAAATCAGCTGATCAGAGTGTGGCTGAGAGCAACCACCCAGCAGGAGACCATTAAATATGAGTTTATCAAACAGGGAACTTTAAAAACTCATGGGTGGCTCTGGTGGTTAAACCTTTTGAACAAAAAGAGCTTCCCATGACTGGCAGATGTGACAAACCAAGCAGCTACAACCTAAATTTACCAGCTCCCTGGCTCGTGTCGGCCGTTAAATTCCCTTTTACTCGTAGCCATAAATACAGCTCATTGTCCTGGTGGGATTGTGTTGGCAGCACGCCGTTCGCCGTGGCCGTAAATAGCCCCAGAACCAGCATCTTATGTAATTTCCTACTAAACCTCTCTTTGAAATATGCCGCCTTACGTAACTGCCCTACAACACCGGGCCTCATTTACATAATTGTATAGCGATAAACTCATTGCGCTAATCTATGGCCCAGAGTGTGTCCCCTCATTTACATATATGCAAATGAGCCTCACGTGTCTACAATTCCTCAAAATATGGCAGGACTTTGATTTCTTCTGCCTGTTTTTTTAATGTGTGTTTGTGAGCATGTATTCATATGTTTGTGGGGACCAAAATCCTGATCCCCACAAGTTCAAAAGTATTTTTGAGGCTCAGTTTTGTTCTGCTGTCTGCCCCCACAACAGATAAACCTCAGCTGTCAGATTCAGCTCTGTGTTATAAATCTGTGATTTGGACGATGATGATCATGGATGGTTAATCATCCAACATGTCGTTCACGTTATGGTCCAGAGATGCTACGTTACAAATGAAAAGTGAATGCAGTGTTGGGCGAGTCTCACGCCACCCCCCTTCTCTTTATATTACAGAAAAGATATTTATTGAAATGTATGAAAACATAAACTAAAACAAAGCAAAAGAAAAAAGGAAGAAAAGGAAAACAGTGACGCTGTTATCAGTCAGATGCTTTCCAGATAAATCTGATGGTGTCGTCTGCGTTCCAGCAGTTTCGAAGGATCTCCAACATCACCGATTAAAAAGCCAAACATGGCAGAGCCTCCAGCGTGTTCACAGATGGCTGCAGACTCCGACTGCTGACCTCCTGCTGACCGTGGGTCCATCTCTCCATCAGACCGGTTCCTCTGGTCTTCAGTCCAGTTTCATACCTCTCCCTTCGTTAAGCACGGCTTCCTGACAGCCGTCCTTCACTGAGACCATTTCTGCTGAGACTCCAGAGAACAGCAGACGATGAGCCGAAGGTCCCGATCGTCTCTCTGCTCTCGTCTCAGCTCTTTGCTGGATTGTTTTCCTGTTTCTTTCAGACGCTGTTCATTTGTTGCAGACAGTTTTTTAGACGTTACACTTCTTTTGCCCAGCTTCCTCAGAATTTCTAACAGCTCTTTTGTTTGCGCAGAAATATTCTTTCATGCTGTCAAACTGTGTTTTCTTTGAGATTTTTTATAGATTCAACTAAAGAAATTGTTCAAAAATGTGTTGTGTGACAGGCTGCTGGTAACAAGGTGTCTAAAGATACTTTTTAGACCTGGTTCTTTGCTCAGTCCTCTGCGATGTTTAGACAACGTTGTTCGTTGGGAGCCCTTCATGCTTGAACGATTCATACGTCTGCGTTATCGTTCCTGTGAAAAAACAGCTGGTGTCCAAAGGAAAACTCTGACAGGTCTCCAGAAGGAAAACTGTTGCTCAGGAGCACTTTAAGACAGCGGTCCCCAACCCCCGGGCCTCGGACCAGTACCGGTCCGTGAGTCGTTTGGTACCGGGCCGCGAGAGTTGAGGCTCAGGTGTGAAATGTCTGGTTTTCAGGGGTTTTATCGGTTTCCAGCGTTATTTTGTTATCGTTTTTATCGTTAACTCGGTTTTCCTGGGTCTTTCCACGTGTGTTGCGAATAAATCTTCTTTTTTTCGATACCAGTACTAGTTTTATTTTGTTGTATTTATCTTAAAGGCCGGTTCGTGAAAATATTGTCGGGCATAAACCGCTCCGTGGCGCAAAAAAGGTTGGGGACCGCTGCTTTAAGACATTACCAGACATTTGGCTCCTTGGAAGGTTTGACTCAAGACTTTTGCACGGCTAACTGTATCTCCCTTTGTAATCTCACTGATAACAAAATCAGACAGGAAATAGTTTGTTAGCTTGCCAAACCAGCAGTTAACACGATCCATGATGCTAACTCATCTCTCCAGCCTGATATCAAAGCCTCACATGACATGGTCACCTAACGGCAATCTGTCTTCTTAGACATGAACATCACATGTCATCTCCATCACCCACACCTTCAACCTTCAAATGTGGACTTTTCAGCTCTTTACAAGTAGAAAATGTTCATCTTGTATACACTGACACGAATTATGAACACGTGAGACCAGAGAGATGAAAATTTGCTTTCAGAAACACGAATCAGATGTTTGAAGGTCGTGACTGTTTCACAGAGCGCTGTGACATCAGCCTGCAGAGACTCGAAGAGCACAGTCTGAGGTACGTCACATGCAGGCTCTGTTAGCTGTCAGATGTGTTTCATTTACAATGTAAGGGCCTCCACGGTCACTCATAATGGTTTTCTGGACTTACACCAGGCTCGTTTCAGGCTGGCTCAGACGCACGATGGATATCTGGGTCAGTTTTAGGAAAGAAAACAGCAAAAAAAGAAGAAAATATACAAGAAGAAAGTTTTAAAATAAGCACGTTTTTGTTCATCTCAACATCTCACATTTCCTTCTATCTGAACACTGGCACCAAAACATTATCTTGCAAAGATAAAGACATTTTTAAACTGTCAGGTTTTGAAATGTCTGCTTTTTTTGTCCTCACTGCTGAGGAAACGGCCGTATGTGCAGGCAGCTCATTACGACTGTAGTTACTGTGCAAACTCAGAGAGTGACATGAAGACGTATATCACACGGACAAAAGAAAGGAAAGAAAACATCAGTTCATAAAGGACTGCGAGTTTTTTCCATGGTGATGTTGTCACTGCGCGAGTGCTGAACAAACACCTTCCCCTCTGCACATAAAACGCACAAAGGTGTTGTGTGGGCTGCCTGACGAAGCCTCCGCCTGGGCATGTTTTCACACAGGGGTCAGGACGGCGCCGGGAAACGAGGCGAGGCCGGCAACACGGGCTTCACTTTTCCTTTTGTGGCCTTTGAATGTTTTTAATTTCAACAGTTATGTACAAAAAGACCAAAAGCTATAATTAAACTACACAAAACACTGAAAAATGAATAATTATCTGAAAACAGCCTCAAATCTGGTGAAACGCTCACGTCTCCATCCCAGAACGTTTCAATCCTGATCATGAAGCAGCTTCATGAGACAGAAACACCATAAAACCAACACTTCAGAAAGCAGCACGTGTTTGTGCTCGAGTTTTCCTCACAGTCACAAATATTCATGGATTTTAATAACAGCTGATTTGTCTTCAGTAGGGATCTGTTACCACGGCAACCCAGAAAACAGGGCTTTAAAAAACTCTTTGAAGCGAAAACACAAATGTTTTCTGAGCTTTCTGCTGGTTAAAACTTACAAAGTTTTCAGGGCTTGACTTTAACTTTATATAATTAATAGCAAGATTAAAATAGTCTGTAGCAGTCAGCTGTGTGAGGAAGTCGAACTGAGCTCTCCAGGGTTCAAAGGTCGACTTTTTCTTCCACTAACAGTGCAAAAACTAAACATTGTGTACATGGATGTGTTTTAAAACACACGTGAAGTGTTGTGGCTGAGCTGGAGAGGAGCAGGTGCCCGTAAGCACAAGTGTTGTGTTGTTTTCATCATAAACGTGTTACTGTGTGTGACTGTGTTTCAGGTTTTGCTTAAAGACTGAATGCGGTTCAGTGTCGGTGCTTTGGCAGCTCAGGTGAGCACAACAATACCTGAATAAGGTTTATAATTAACGCTGCGATTATAAATGCTGCATCATCACATGTGAGGCCTTGGAAAGTGTGTCTGCTCATTAAAAATTAAGCTGCGTGTTTACAGTTGTGAGCTAGATGGTTTCTGAGTTTTATTGCTTTATGGTTTGATTACAAATTGAAAGCAGGCCAGGCTGACGTGGCCACGTCCCATTCCGAACTCGGAGCACGTCTATGCGTCCTTGACAGACACCTGTGGACCGAGGCAATCCTCAGACAGACTAAACACGAGTGAAATAAAGAACGAAGAGCACAAAAGCTTCACGAGGACGTGAAAGGTCGTGGTTTTCTGAGTAAGGAGGCGAACGAGGACAGATCAGAGGAAGGTTTCGCACAGAAATAGGACTCAGGAAACCAGCGTGATGCAGGTGACCTGCAGCAGGTGTTTTTGTGTGCGTGCGTGCAGACAGGTCTGTGGAGGGGGCGTGGCTTATAAACTACCTGCAGCAGGTAAGGTTCGGGTTACCTGCAGCGCTCCAGTCCCTGCTCCGCTTTGGAAGAACAGTGTTTGCTGATGAGTTTGTTCACTTATCGCTCAGCCGGTCAGGAGCCCAGAGTCGCAGAGCGGAGATCATCCACCTGCAGGTGAGTCGGTCATTACTCACACCTGCGGCCTCTGCACAGCGTCTCCTCACAGCCGGAGCTGCTGCTGCTTTTTTTTATTCTGCTGTTTGTTGGCTGGTTGTTTGTTTCTGGCTGTGTGTCGCGTGAGAGCAGACTTCAGTAATCACTTCCAGCGAAACTCCATCGACGCTCGTGTTGTTTTCAGGAAACATGCGGTTTTAATGCGAGACTGTGACGTGTAATTCATACCTGCGTAAGAACTGGTTTTGTGCACGCGCGTGTTGTTGGATGCAGGGCTGCTGGGAGTGTATCCGGTGTCCGGTGTGCTCTCCCGACACGAGTTTGCGGAGGTGCGTGCGTGAGTGTTTGGTGTGCAAATGGTCCTGTTGCCTTGGTTACAGTGACATCACGCATGCTGCTGGGGTCACTTCAGCTTCACACGCACTTAATTTAAATGTGCATACATATTTTTAAATCTAGTAAATGCTTTGTTATTGGCGGCGTCTGCGGAGTCCGCTTCATGATCCAGCAGCGCCGTCATGTTTGCGTCACTTAACCTAATATTGACTTAAACTAACACCAACCTGTGCAAACCACCTGAGGACAAAACCAACACTGATACGGGATTTTGAAAACAAACTCTACAAATCCTTAAAACTTGTAAAACATTACATATGAACTATACGTATGTTATATTTAGTGGATGGTAAGAAGTTTGTGAGCGTCGGGCCGCAGCAGCATGTCGAACAGCCGCTCACCGTCTGTTTCTGCGCCGTTTTAACCAAAACTGGATCCAAACTGGAGGTTTTGGTGCCGTTAGCTCGGCTCTGTTTCACGCTAACTGGACTTTAGATCAAAGGAAAGTTTGGCTATTGGAAGTTTTTTGTGTTGCACGCTTTTATGAGTTTGAGCAAACATAAAGGAGGAAGAACATAAAATGGAAACGCTGTGATAGATGGTTACTCTTGTTCTGCCAACCATTCATTAACCAAGTACATTGTCATTTAAATGTTGCACTGAAAGTACAAAGAGCATGAATTTGCTTACTTTATTGCAATAATATGATCGAATTCAGTTGCTGCTGCCTTTGGAAGCCACTTTGAACCCCCCGCCCCAGCACTTTCATGCTAACTCTAAGAAGGGCCATAAACGAGCGTCTGCAGCACTGTGACATACTGCAAAACAATCTTAAAGAACTTACCACTGTTACTCCTGACACGTGATGACTGAAAATATTCAGATTAATGAGTTTAATTTTATCATCTTCTTAATCTAAAAAAGTCAAACTGATTTAAAAACCTCCCAAATCAGAAGATTTACTACATTTTATAGTTTTATATCACTTTGAACTTGTTATCTTTAGCTGACCAAAGCATCCTGGACTCCAGCTTTAAATCCAAACATTAAGCTTTCTATAAATTTCGATAAGTTGTCTTCTCTCTCGCATGTTTTGCACAGTAAAGTATTATCAACAGGTCTTGATCCACTCCAAACATAAGTGTACGTTCAGGCGCACCCTCGGCTCCTCCGGTCTGTGTTGACTGGTTCGCTGCAGGAATGTGTGGCTGTGGTTGAACAGCTTCTCCACCCAGCGACAGCAGAAAAATACTCATACCTACTGTGGGCGTCCGACAGCAGGCTGATCCTCCGCCACGCCTGAGCTAAGAAACAATTAGATGCACGTTTGTCGGTCTCTGAATTTTTCCACCAACCGAACAAACAAAAGCCCGTCTGACACCACAGGGCAGCAAACACTAGAGTTTATCTACCCAAAATGAGTAATCAGTTAAAGGAGGTTTGCTTTGTGATTAAAGATTTAATCTTGCAGTCCGGATTTAAGACCTGACATTATGCTTCAAACACTGAGCGTGCCAGCTGGTCTTAGACATGAGTTTAGGGTCAGCTTGATGACTTCAACCCATCTCAGATCTAAAAGTTGGCTTTTTCTAGGTTTTCCTCCTTTGCCTGGTTCATTTTTTTTCTTCCAGGTTTTGTCAGATTACAGCATCTTTATTTTCTAAGTTTTCGAACATTTCATTGTTTAAATGTTTAATCAACAAGTCGTGTAAAAGACTGGTGACCCGTCCAGAGCGTACCCTGCCTCTCGCCTTACGGCAGCTGGGATGTTGACGGCCCAAATCGTAGACATGGACAGCAGGCAGGATTCAATAATAGGTGAGCTGCTTATTTACAAGGGACAAAACAAAGTCCAAACTAATGAACCACAAGTTGTACGTACAGACACTCTGACAAAGGCCAACGACTGCACAGAAAAGCAACCAGACACACTGCTGGATGATACTACAGCAGGGTGGGCAACTCCAGGCCTCGAGGGCCGGTGTCCTGCAGGTTTAGATGTGTCCTTGATCCATCACAGCTGATTTAAATGACTAAATGACCTCCTCAACATGTCTTTAAGTTCTCCAGAGGCCTGGTAATGAACTAATCATGTGATTCGGGTTTGTAGACCCAGGGTGAGATCTAAAACCTGCAGGACACCGGCCCTCGAGGCCTGGAGTTCCTCACCCTGCTCTAGAGATAAATAACCACCAGAATAAAACAGGAAGTAAGAAATGATAACTAAACGGCGAAACACAAAGACATTTACTTGAGATCAGGGACTCGAGAGGATGGAACAAGAAACTCTAAAGTATAAACTAAACGCTAATACAACCAGGAACAGAGAACTCTAAACTCGGTACACTAAAGAAATGCACGAAGCACCAACTCCGGGTCAAAGGCCGAGCACCGTGACTGCTACAGCATGACTAATTTCTCCCTTTCTGATTGTTGGTGGATGCTCACAAAACAAGGATTCGCTGTTCTCCAGGTGTGCGCTACGGTTTTCTTTCACCTTGCAGAGTTAAAAATGTTTGACCTGAGGTTTTCCTCAGTGTCAGCTGAGCTGCGAGCTCAGACTCCGTCACCACGAGCTAAACCCTTCACGGCTCCGATGATGCCCGGGTGTCTGTTTGGCAATTACTTTGAGTCAATTTGATCGGTTTAAAGTCCGACATTAAACAAATACCTGGAAGAAGTGAGGCGCCACCTGCTCTGCTAATGTGCTGCCAGAGCGGGCATCGGGTCGATACCGTGTCCTTATGCAACCTCGAGCCTGAGCGCGTGCAGCTGTGTCAGGTTTAAGATTCTCAGGTGTATGTTTTGGTCACATGTTAGTGCCGCTGATTCTTATTGAAGAGCTCTGGCTGGTCTGGATGTTTGTCAGAGGAACATTCAGACTGTCGGCTTTTCTCGTCTTTCTGTAGTTTAAACCTGATGGCTGCAGACTTGCGTTATACGGTTGTCCCATGTACGATGTCATTGATGTCACTGTGGATAACTAACCAATCCCTCACCTTATTAGATGAGGAGCTAGATCTGACCGTGCAGGCTTAAATTAGCTGTTAAATGTACTCTGTTGGCTCCTGTATGAACTCTGAGGGGAAGGTGACTGTGTCGCAGAGCACAGGTGAGGTCACCTGCAGCTTTTAATTATGTGACAGATCACATGACTGTCTACAGTTTCACTTCAGCCTGAGGTGTTCAACGGTGATTGGACCTGATGGAGTTACTGGAGAGATCTGCCTGACCCTGAAGCTCCAGTGTTTGTCGCTTTGAAATTTAAAAGTGAAGTTATTTGATCTTTAAAGGAAACTTCTTGTATTTAAGATAATTTTGAAAGCTTGCAAATATGACTGTCAGCAGAATTTGAAGAGACATTTTTGACTTTATCTCCAAAAGCGTCCCTGTGAGAGGAGTCAGACGGCAGCTGGTCAGTGCTGAGATGTTTGCTGGGTCTGGGCTGTGTTGACCGCAGTTCTACTGAAGTACTTTTTTGTACTAAACATGGGCCAAAGACCTGGCAGGTCATTTTAGAAGACCTTTTTTATTTACACCGCTGTTCTATTAAAGGCCACACCTGACTTCCTGCATGAGTCAGGTGTGGCAGAGAAATGTGCAAGGCTGGTGCGGGACAGGTACGAGGACAGTGGTGATGTGTGCAGGAGGAGTGACAGATGGGTTCGTGGTGGGACTACATCAGGGATCTGCTCTGATCCCCTTCTTGTTTGCAGTGGTGACAGACTGACAGATGGGGTCAGGCAGGAGTGTCTGTGGAGCTGGCGAGCCGTAGTGAGAGTGGGGAGCAGGTGGGAAAGAGCCTGGAGAGGTGAAGGAATGCTTTGGAGAGAAGAATGGAAGTCAGAAGACCCAAGATAGAACACGTGTGAGTGAGATGGAGACGTGCAGTGTGATAGTGAAGGTAGACGAGTTTAAATACCTGGATTAACAATGCACGTGAGAGGTGAAGAGATTCCAGGCAGGGTGGAATGGGTGAAGACGAAACAAAGACGATATGGTGGGTAGTGTCTGAGGCGCTGGAGGCTGAGCTGGAGGCAGCAGAGATGAAGCTCAGGTTGAGTGGTTTGGAGACAAAGTTAAAGAGGTACGGCTGAAATGTGGACTTGCAGAGGAGAGTGGCTTTGTTGGACGAAGTACTATAGACGTGTAACGGTCTGTACGAGCTAGCAGCTAGCTGTGAAGCTGACGTGAATTCTCCAGAACACAGCGTCTTCTTCCTGTATTTACTTTTGTTGCTCCGCCCCAGACACATCTGGCCAATAAGCAGACTGAACATTGTCATGTGGTTTCAGTGACATTTTGGTTCGCTTGGAGTTTTCTTGAATTTTTCTCAAATCACGAGAAAAGTTTGCAAACTCAGAGTAAATGACCTACAGGCGTGAAAACGCCCCGAGTGACTTCTTACTGCTGCAGAGCTGCTCTGTCATTTTAATCCAGAGGTCTGGATTTAAGAGGAGGGAGTCACTTTGATATTTAAGACAAAACAGCATTTTTCCTCTTTGTGAAGCTGCAGCAAACAGCAGATTTGTCTTTATGAAATCATTCACCAAACGATCATCTCATGGTTTCAGCTCCAAACAAACACTTCTGGGTCTTCGAGTCGAGTGTTTTGTTCGGAAGAAGTGTGTGGATGATGATGCTGATTACCGATGTTTGCTGTC